CCTCCAAGCTTCCCCTCGGTCCCTGTGTGTGGAGCCTTCCTTGTCTGGCCCCTGCCTGGGACCCTCGCTTCTCTCTGCTGTGCTTAGCTAGGTTGTCTAACCATGGCTGTGTCCCAGCTGGACGGAGTCCCCTTCATCTCTGTGTATCCAATGCCGGCACATAGTAGGTGGTCCATGTGTGTCCCTGAGTGACCACCTAGGGTGACTACTGGCATGTCACATCACCTCCTCATCCGTAAAAGGGACCCGGACATGACTGCTTGGAGCCCTGACGTTAGGAAATACACTCAGGACCGGCCAGGGTGGCTCAGTGGTTGCACATCAACTTATGAACCAGGAGGTCGTGATTCCATAACCCCCATCAGGGCACATGCCCAAGTTGTGGGCTTGATCCCCAGGAGGGGGTGTGCGGGAGGCAGCCAATCAATGATTCTCTTTGCTGACGTTTCTATTTCTCTTCCTCTCCCTTCCTTTCTGAAATCAATAAGAAATATATTTAAAAAAAAGAGAGAAGTGCACTCAGCAAATACTGAGTGCCTGCTGCATACCAATCTGTGCACCTGGACAGGGCATGCTGTGAGGCACAAAGGCGGCGACGTGCCAACTGCCAAGCTCTGGTGTCTGTTCCCCTGCCGGCCGGTCCCCTCGCTGATGCCCACGCTGGAATAAACCTGCCACCCTCGCCACGGGCAGCCTGTTGGCCCCCTAGCAGCCCTGTCCAGATGCCCCAGACTGGACGGTCTCATCTCCATCTAAGGGAGCTTCCGGGGCATCCACTGCTTCTTTTGGCTGAGAGTCTGGGCCTCCCTCCTGGCGGGAACCTGGGGGTCCTGAGGTCTGTCCCTTCTCCCTCTATCTATGTCCAGCTTCCTTTCCCAGTTTCTCTCTCTCTCTCTCTCTCTCTCTCTCTCTCTCTCTCTCTCTCTCTCTCTCTCTCCTTCTCTTCCCCCCACCCCCCCCCCCCCCATAGAATTCTGTTTCTCCTCTCATTAGCTGTGTGACCCTGGGCAATTTACTTAATTTCTCTGGATTCTGGCTCTCCCGTCTGCGAAATGAGCTTCACGCTCCCTCTCACCTAGGACTCTGCCAGGGTGAGGTGGGCTGATGGAGTGACAGGGCACCTGGCGGGGGGAGGGGGGCTCCCTGCTGCTCAGCTAGGTGAGCCGCGGCACCCCCCCTCTCCTGCCTGGGCCAGGTTCCTGTAGCCACAGGCGCTCTGGAGGAATGCCAGTGTCCCCGGAGGCCCCTCTGGCTCTGCCCTTTGCTTCTGCCTGCTTAATCCGGTTGGCGGATGGACTGGCTGGCTCGCCCAGGATCCGGCCCGCCCTCCCTCTGATCGGACCTAGATCCTTCCCAGCTCCAACCGCCATCAGCACTTCCGTACCTTCCCATCTGGCGATGTTCCCTCGATCTGGCCATGCCTCATACCTGGTAGATGCTTAATGAAAGCTTTCGGAATGCTGGAGTTGGTTTCTGCCATTCATTTTCTCCTCTCCTTTTTGTTGTTGTTTGTTTTTTAAATATATTTTATTGATTTTGTACAGAGAGGAAGGGAGAGAGATAGAGAGTTAGAAACATCGATGAGAGAGAGTCACCGATCAGCTGCCTCTTGCACACCCCCTACTGGGTATATGCCCGCAACCAAGGTACATGCCCTTGACCGGAATCGAACCGGGAACCCTTCAGTCCCCAAGCCGACGCTCTAGTCATTGAGCCAAACTGGTCTCGGCGATTTTCTCCTCTCCTTACTTCCCGTCTCAACGGACTGCTCCAGGGCCTGCTCTTAGGCATCCAGGGTGCTGCTTGGGGCTGAGAGCAGTCCTGCTCCTGGGGGAACGTGCTCTCACCGGGCAGGAGTGGCCCACGGGAGGGTATCTCAGGCCAGTGGGGGGCCACTCTGCCAGTTTGGCATCCTGGAAATCGTGGCTCTTAGAGTTTTGAATCTTAAAACCCAGAATTCTATTGAAGGGCACAGACTCTGAAGCTAGGCCCCCTGGATTCAAGTCCCAGCTCTGCCGTTTAGTAGCTGTGTGACTCGGAGCAGCTTACCAACTTCTCTGTGCCGGTGGCTCCTCACCTGGAGAAGAGATTTACAAGATTGTGAAAACAATGAAATGTTGTTAATATTTGTCCAGGGGCAGATACACATCTTGTGTTTGAGAAAGAAATCAGCTTGGGTGCTGAGGGTGCTAGACTCTGTCTCCGCCATCTTAGGGTCTTTAGGCCTAAGGGGGACCCCAGCTCCTGTCCTGGGGCAGGAATCATTGGTCCCAGCCTGCTTATCCCTCTTGGCACTACCATTGCTAGAAAGTTCTCTGGACTGAGGTGGGCCGGGGCTGCTCCGCCCAGCCGCCACTGAAGTGTTGACTGAGGGCCCAGCTGGATGCAGTAGGGGATTCTGGGAAAGGGGGTCAGGAGCCTGGCTCAGGGGCCAGCTGGGGGCAGTAGGGGATTCTGGGAGAGGGGGTCAGGAGCCTGGCTCAGGGACCAGCTGGGGGCAGTAGGGGATTCTGGGAGAGGGGGTGAGGAGCCTGGCTCAGGGGCCAGCTGGGGGCAGTAGGGGATTCTGGGAAAGGGGGTCAGGAGCCTGGCTCAGGGGCCAGGTGGGGGCAGTAGGGAGTTCCAGGACAGGGCCCATCGCCCACCGCCTGGCAGGCCCCCAGCTCCTAGGGCATGACGGAGCCTAATGAGTGTGTGTGGTGGCTGCAGCCTTCTGCAAATACCAGGCCCAATATAAATAGCAATAATGAATAAATGAAGCTCCGGCCGCCAGCAAGGGCCTCTGGGAGGGACGGCTGCAGCCTCGCTTCTTGCCGAGACCTCGAGCTGCACCCCATCCCCCCGCGAGTGTGAGGATCATCTCTCACCCCACTTCCCTCATGACCTTGAACCTGCTGGACCCTCCACGTCCACCGAGCCCACCCCTGGCTGAGGGTGTGGTGGGCATAAGAGTGCAGTAGCAGACAAGGAAGGCTTTAAGTGAAGCATACGGCACTTAGGTTGGACACGTAGCAGGACTTCCTGCCGGTGCGGATGCTCGAAGAAGGCTGGGGAGGGGGTGTCAGTCCTGCCAGGACAGGGAAGGGACCAGGATCATGGAGGGGGCGGACTTCTCCTTAAATAATAGGAATGATAAAAGAATGTTGAGTGATCAGAGATGCCCAGAGAACAGAGGAGCTGTCCCCATCAGCAGTGAGGTCTGCGTCACCCCAGGTATGCAAGCAGGGGGCTGGGTGGCCACCCGGAGAGGCTGTGGCTGGCAGGACCCCTCCCGTCCTGAGAATTCTCCGTCCGGTGGCTTCTCAGAGTCTCGTCCAGCCTTTCAAACTTCATGAAAACGTCGCCTGAGGAGAGCGGAGAGAGAGCCATGGTCTCCATCCTCTCTCTGCCCTGCTGCCCGCGTGCTTTCCGGCGCCCAGGCCCAGTCTCTCTAGCGGGCACGCAGCTGGTCAGGATACGGAGTCCCTGCCCATGTCACCGTATTCCTACTTCCGTGCCTTTGCTGATGTCCTTTCTCCCTCCGAGTGGATGCACCCCCAACCCCCCCTCCTTTCTCAACCCCACACAAGTCTTAAAGGCACAGTGCAGGCCTCTGGCCTGTGAGGAGGTGGGTCTTCCCTGAAGACTCCAGTCCGGTTCGAAGCCCGGTCTGGCTGGAACAAGCCCATCCCACCTGTGGGCGCCCCTGGCCTGCTCCTCGCACACCTGTGAGATACCGGGAGCCGCCTGTGTGCTCACAGGAACTGGCCCGGTGGGCTGGCGACAGAGGTTTGCCTGGGCTCCCTGGACAGGTTATAAAAGGTGGGACGGGATACATGTTTGCTGAGCACCTACTATGTGCCAGGCTTAGCGCTCAGCATTTTTTAAGACTGGTTTCATTCTGCAACGTGTGAGCTTTCACCTCCATCGCACGGATAGGAAACGGGGGGTGGGGAGGGGCTCAGAGACCGTCAGGGGCCGGCCCAAGGCACTCAGCTGGGAATGGGGAGAGCTGGGGTCAAACCTCAGGGCACCTTCCTCCCAAACTCCGCCCATCTTCCTGACGGAGGGGCCCCAGGGCAGGCCTCAGCATCCCCCTCCCCCCCACTCCAGCCCAGTTCCTGCCTCTGCTGTGCACTCTCCCAGGAGATGAGACGAAGCAGGGGTGGGGTGAGGAGGGGGAGGGCTGGGCTGAGGTCCCTGGTCTCACAGGCCCCTGCAGCCCAGACTGCCTGCCCAGGGGACTTCGCAGTGGGAGTAAAAGGCGTCTGTTCCACTAGGGAGCCCTCTCGGAAGCCTTCCTGGAGGAGGTGGTCTTTCCGCCAAGCCTTGAAGGCGGAGAAGAAACATGAATGAGGGTGAGAAGGGGGAGGCTGCCTGGGCCCTGGAGAAACCACTGGAGTCCAGGCAGCCCGGCTCCACCACGTCAGAGCCGGTGGCCCTGGGCAGGCAGCCCCTCACTAGGCAGTGGGGGCCCCACCCCGCCTTTCACAGCATCTCCACGAGAATCCAGGTGTCAGGTGGCCAGCAGGCGCCTTGGACATGGGGGTGGTCGGTAATGGGGCCCTGAGTGTCCAGGGGTGGCCACCAGCCGGGGACTCCTTGCCCTCCGGAGGAGGGGGGCTCCCCGGCCGCGGCGGTCGGTCTGTCGCCGCCGCCCCCCCCTCCGCGCCGCGCCTGCAGCTTCCCCCGAAGACATGTGGTGTCAGTATAGGGACGGCGCTGCCGCCGCCGCACGGCCCGCACCCGGCGCTCCGCGCCTCCGCAGCCCCCGCCGCCAGCCCCGCGCAGCCCCGCCGCCAGCCCGCGGCCCGAGGCACCCATCCACCCATCCGGGGGGACCGGCCCGCGCCCGCCCGCCGCCCGCCGCCCGCCCGGCACCTGCCGCCGCTCCGCCCGCCGCCCGCCGCCCGCCGCCCGCTCCCCGCGCTCCAACTCCGCTCCGTCCGCGTCCGCGCGGGTTCGCTCCGCCGCCGCTCCCCGCGCCATGGCCGGCGCCCCCGCGCCCGCCGCCCCGCGCCCGCCGCCCCGGGCGCCCCGGGGGCGCAGCTGATCCTGAGCCGCCGCGGGGCGGGCGGCGCGGCTGGGGTCCCCGATCCCGGGCTGGGGGACCGCACCGCCCCCGCGTCTGCAGCCTGGACCCCGCCGCCCGCCGAGCCCGCGCCCGGTAGGTGGGGGGAGGGGGTGGGGTAGGGGGAAGGTAGGGGTGGGGGTAAGGGTGCGGGTGGGGGTGGGGGAGACGGGAAGGGAGAGCGCAGATCCCCAGGCAGGTTTCTTGGCGCGTCGGTTCTTTCTCGGTGGAGGCGTTCGTGTGTTCCTGGGGACCGGCACCCCCACCCGGGCACCCCACCCGGGCACCCCACCCGGGCACCCTACCCGCGCGTGCCCGCCAGGCCGCCCCCCGCCGCGCCTCCGGGGCCGGTGCTGGGGAGGGAGGACCGGAAACTTTGACCGGTGCCCGCGCCAAGGCCACGAAAGTTCTCCCGGTGCCGAGGCTGAAGCCGCGGAGACGGCGCTGCGGGGATTGGGATTTATTCAACAAGTCAGGCCGGGCGGCCGGCTGTCCGTCTGTCCGTGCGTCCGTCCGCCCCGCGCCCCGCGCCCGCCGCTGCGGCTCTGCGGCCGGCGGACCTGGCAGGGCCGAGCCGGGGCGCCGGGGAAGGGAGCGGATGGAAGCGGGGAATCCCGGCGACGGTTAACTTTCCGAGGCCCCGGCGCTGCGACCCTCCCCTGGCAGCACCAGGGGGTGCCCGAGGCCTCCTGCACGCAGCCAGGCCGGCAGAGCGGAGACTTCAGGGGTGAGAGAATCCTCAGCAGGTTGGGGCGGTTACATAATGAGTGTCTGTGATGATTGGGTTTTAATTGTGTCCTGGGTGGCATGTAGGGGGTTGTGGGGGAGGGGGTGAGAAGGCCTGGGGGTGAGAGGCCTGGGGGTGCTCGTGCTGCCTGGAGGAGGGGGCTCTGGGATGGCCCACGCGAAGGCACCAGTCCCTGCTCTGCTGTGTCTCTCTCCCTCTCAGGGTCCCGGGGCCTGCACTGTGGGGGAGATTGGCTGTGGGAGACCCCTGAGCTATATATATATGTATATGTATATATACATTCTGATTCTGGGTGTCTGTGTGCTGGGCCAGGTGTGTGTGTGTGTGTGTGTGTGTGTGTGTGTGTGTGTCAGAGAGAGAGAGAGAGAGAGAGAGAGAGAGAGAGAGAGAGAGAGAGAGAGGGCGCTTGCGTCTGTGCCGGGTGGTGTGATAGGGTCTGACACGCATGTGAGGAGCGTCCTAGGGGCTGGCGTGGTCAGGCTGGCTGAGCAGGGAGCCAGCCTGTCCTGTCTCCAGCCGCTGAGACTCCCCAGCAGGCACCGGGGCGCAGGAAGAAGGCTGTGGAGATGGGGGTGAGGGTCCGTGGCCTCGCCTGTGGGAAGGTCTGGTGGAGGAGCCAGGGCTGCAGTGCTCAGGCCCTGCCCACACCACACGGCTGGGACCAGTGTCTCCCCTCGGCTCCTGTGCTGGCTGTGGGCACCCTTGTCCACCCTGCGGGACACACTTCCTGTTCAGGCTCCGGGAAGGCGCTGGGATGGGGATGGAGGGGCGTCTGGAGCCCCCCTGTCCCCTTCCCACCTCCACCGTCCACTCGGAGCAGAGGTGGGGGGGTGCCAGTGGGTGGCATGCAGGGCGACCTGGAGGGGGCAGTTCTGGGGCTGCAGTGGGGGGAGGGAGGAAAGGGGAGGTCACATGGGATGGTGGGAGTGGGGCTGAAAGAGCACCAAACGCAAACCACTGCGGGGCCCGGCACCAGCCGCCTGGAGCTCCCTTCCTGGCGGCTCAGAGCTGTCCGGCTTGCCCCTGGGGACCGTCATGGCCAGCATGGAGGAGGGACTCTTTGCACCCTTCTCCCATGCCCCTTCCCAGCTGCCCCTGAGAGGGCATCTCCAGACCCCCCAGGGCTTCCCAAGCAGCAGTTGTTTCCCTGTCCCTGCTCCCCGACTCCCCTTGACCTTGGATGGGGCGGGAGAGGCTGAGGCTGCTGGGAGAACCCGCCTCTCCCACCCTCCACCCCGGCTCCAGACGGCCTGTCCCTCGTGAGCCTGCAGCCCAGCGGGAGGCAGCTTCAGCGACCAGTGTGGCTATAGCCTCTCTCTGGTTCTGAACCCACATCCACACCCCGAACCTATAGGGGCCACCTCCAGCTCCCCTCCCCTAGACCCCCTCCAGCGCCATCTCCTCCACCCTCACCCTGAGCCCTCATGGGGCTCCCCTGGACCTCAGCCCTCCTAGGGGAGTCTGTTTCTAGGCACCACTCTGTCCCCCCTACCCCCCAGGAGCTGCCCGCCCCCCAACACCTTCCAGCGCTGTCCAAGGTAAGAAACAGGCTCTTAGGGCTCCTCGATCCCCCTGTCTCTCCCTCGGCTGCCTTGTTCTCTGAGCGCCCTCCCTCCGCCCCAGGTGCTCAAACGCTGCGTCTGGGAAGAGGGGAGGCTGGGCTGTGTGCAGGCTCCAGGGAGACCCCCCCCCCCATCAGGCTGCAGGGTCCTCCTTCTGTCTCCGACCCCCCTCCTTTTCCCTTCTCGTCCTCCTTCCCAGCCTCCGCTCCCTTCTGACCTCTTCCCTCCCTCCTGTTTTTCCCTGCGGAATGTTTTCTTCCCACATATTCCCAGGATGGCTCTTGCCCTGTGCCCTCCACCCTCGTGCCCCCAGGGGTCCTGGGCGAGGCTGAGGGGTCGGAGATGGCCCGGGGAGCTGTGGGTGTGTGGCCGGGGGGCGCCTGGCCTGTGGGTTCTGTGGTCTGTGGGCCTCTGTGGGTGTGTGAGCAGGCAGGGTCTGGGGACCTTACGGTCCAGGGCCCGTGGGTCTGCAGGGCTGTGGGTGTCTGCGCACCTGTGGAGGGTGGCTCCATGTCTGTGGGTCCACAGGTCTGTGGGCCCGTGGATGCAGATGTTCAGAAAGATGTGGGCTGAGTCTCCCCCTGCCCCCCTCATGGCTGCCAGGGTAAGGGAGAAAACAAATCTGACTCCCCAATTTCCGTGTCTCCCTTCCTCTCTTGTATTTGTTAAGCACCTACTATGCGCCAAGCCCTGTTCTCATCACTGGTGGGCATTACAGTGAACAGAAGGGAACAGACAAAAATCTGCCCTCTTGGAGCTTCTGTGCCCTTGGGAGGGGCCTGGGGCCACCCCTGTGCCAGGGGCCATGTGGGCACAGGGCCTGGGTTCCTCTTGGGCTCTCAGAGGGGAGACCTCGGCTGTGTTTGACCCATGGGGGTGCAGGCCAGGGAAGGCTGTGAAAGCACACGGTGTTTGGCCGCCCTTGAGCAGGAGAGGATGAACAGGAAGTGGATTCTCCAGGGTGGAGGTCAGCACAGGCCTGGCCCTGCCTCACCAACCTTCTGCCTTCATCTCAGAGGCCTGTCTGGGGCTCTTGCTCTTGTGTCTCATGATGCGTTATGAGAAGAGCACCAGGGTTTCCCTCTCCCCACCGCTGACCACTGGGCAGGCAGCGAGGGCCACCTGCCACTCTCAGGAGGTCCAGGGCCGTAGCCTCCTCCCTGGACCACTCAGCCCTCGTCCCGGCCGGAGAGGCTTGAACAGCCCTGAGGGCCCAGGCACTTAGCATCGCGGAGCGTCCGCTTCCTGTGAAACTGAGACGTGCCTTCCGCCTCAGAGGGTGTTGTAAGGCCTGCAAATGTCTCTACAGCGCCCAGCCCGGGCCCGGTGCGACGAAACGGCTTTTCTTCCATGAAGGTACTTTCCGGATCTCTGTTCTAGCTTGCTATCCTTTTTGTGAGATAGAGAAACAGGTTTGCATTTTATGCAAGAGCCAACAAAGCTTGATGAGGCTATATGATGCGGTGAGGGCGGAGCTGGGACTCGAACCTGGGCCCTGGACTCCAGACACAGTGCTCTTCCTGCTAGGACACCCTTCCTCCCACCAGGGACCAGGCTCCCCCTGCTTGGTGGCTGAACTCAGACCCGAGGCCCTCATTACTGCCGAGCGAGTGAAAACTGATCAGCAGAGTCACCTGCTGGGAAGTGCTCAAACAGTCTGGTGGAGACGCAAGCAGTGGCGCTCACTGGCACTTGTTATAAGGCTGAGAGCTGACAAACACACGGCAGCGCCTGTGACAGACGTGTGGCCGGGGAGCCGTGTGTTCAGAACCCCACAGGCACCCAGCACCTGCTCAAGGGCATCCGACCACCTCGTGCTCCCACAGCCTTCCACGGCCCGCACCCCCACGTGTCCAACGCAGCCGGGGTCTTGGGTCCGAGCCCTGGGCGGTGGGCTGCAGCTTGCTGGCCGTGGCCTGCCCTTGAGCTGGTGACCTGGGTTTGGGGCTCCCAGATCCAGAGCCCAGCTCCCTCACCAAGTACTTCTTGACCTTGGGAACACTCCTGCACCTCTCTGTGCCTCCGTCTCCTCCTCTGTAAGGTGGAGGGAGGAAAATCGCTTCCTCACCGGGTTGTCACGGGGTGCCTGGCACATAGTCAGGGCCGGGCAGAGAACGCTGTCCACACTCCTGTTGGCCATCGTGGGAGGGGCTGCTAGCCCACCTCACCGAGCCCTGGAGGGCTGGGAGGGCTCGCCGTGGATCGCGGTGACAGGACCCAAGTGGCTGCAGTGCGGGGGGCGGGCTCCCGTCTCCTGTCAGGTCACGCACCTGGGGGCCAGTCTGCGGGCATTCGCCTGCACTCCAGAGGAGCCTTGTCTTTGCTGCCGTTCCTCTGGAGAAGATCTGAGGAGACCAGTGGACCACAGGCCCCACGGGGGCGGCAGCCTGACTGGATTACAAGCCAGGCTCTGGGGCTCCCAGGCTGCGTCAGGAGAGGGCCCCCTGCAGCACCAGGGAGGCGTCTTTCTGCTCCACTCTGGGCGGCCCGGTGCAAACCCAGCCCAGCCTGTGTGGAGGAGGAAAGTAGGCAAAGGAGGCTGTGGCTGGGGGTGAGGCCCCAAGGGGTAGATGGCCTGGAGATTGTCACCCAGGGAATGGGTGAGGGAGCTGGTGACAGGGGGCTGTGCCGAGGAGGCTGGGGGCGGGCGGGCGGGCTGTCATCAAGCATCTGCGGCGCTGTCATGTGGCAGAGGGAGCAGACAGCGGGTTCCAGGGGCTCTGGGGCAGCATCTGGAAGATTCCGGGAGGCAGGTTCCTGCAGCCTCATAAAGACTTTCCTACGGG